ATAGAACTGCTCTCAGGATATTAGGATAGCTTGTTTCTCTAATTCACTTTCTTAAACAACCTAAGAAAATGAGTTCTTCAAAGAACCCACAGTAGTATTTAGACTATCAAATAAGAAATGTAAGCAAAACTGGCATGGAAACGGTTATTACATTTATCAGAGTATCCTCAGGTTACCGCCTTAGCCCTGAACTAAAAAGTACCCCAAAAAGTTGATACCAAACAGACCAGACAACTCATACTTATGAGATCTGCAGTTCCTAAAGCAGAGCAAATTCTTGAGTCAATAAGATTCGCACGTTAAAAGCTACATATTTCATGAACCCTAAAGGCAAATTTGTATAGATTTCATTTTACTGTCCCAATATATAATCCATTAATAAAAAATACAAAAAAGGCAAGTAAGAATAGCAATATTAGCAAATACTTAGGCAGTATTTACTATGTGTCAGGCATTATTCTAAACACTTTCTATAATTTTAATTCTTTATAATCCTCACAACCCCCAGTAAGGTAGAGAAATCACTTACATTCCTGGTATAAATTAATCCCTTAAATTTTTGTAAAGTATCCTGGCAATATGTTCTGAAACTCTAAGCATATATATCCTTTGCCCAAGCAATTACACGTCTGGAAATCTATCCAACAAAAATAAAAGTATTAACATGTAAACATAAATATAAAAGACTACTTGTTGAAGAGTTACTCATAACAGCAAAAAAAAATTAGAGATAACCTGTTTGAAGAAAGTATTACAGCCATAATATGGAAGATTATATATTTAAGGAGGCAGATTCATATTTATCGACTCTGAAAGATGTCTAAAATATAAGTGAAAGAAAACAGTTACAAAATATAGTATGATCCTATTTGTTTAAACACACACATATACCCTATGTACATGTGCAGAAGTCTAGAAAAAGGTATGCAAGGATACATAGCAAACAGCAAATAATTAGACGGAGAGGAAACAACTTTACTTCAGCACTTGAGTGTTTTTATTGTTACAGCAAACAAGTATTTTGTTAAGTCAGTTCGGAAAAAAAAAGGTTTAATTTAGGAAACTCAATTTAGATCCTAATGACAAAGTTCTTGTAGATTACTTCCACCAATTTTGTATACAAGGTTGTATTTTAGTTCTTAAATGATTCGAAGAAACTACTTTCATAACCTCTGCAATTACACATAAGAAGGGAAGTGCTCTAAGCTTTAACAAATCAACTTTCCTTTTTTTTGAATCCAAAAGATTCAAGTCATCTTGCTGCTCTACCTAGATCTACCCAACATGTAAAGATATTCACTTCATAGAGGAATAATTTTCTTGCACAAATAAATCAGACGTTCATCTGCCAGTTAACCAGAAACCATACATACTTCACCTTTTGCTCTCTCAAGGGCAGTTATTAATAGACAATTTCATCTCTTCAAATTCCTAATACGTTGTTTTATTAGGAACTAAGTCCATGAAAAGGATAATATAAGCAATTCATACACAGAATTATTTTCCAAAAGCAACTCATTTCTACCCTATAAATTGTTCATTTTGCAAAGTATGGCCCAAGTAACTTCCGTAATGTTTGACAGTCCAATAACACTTTTATTCCAAAGAAGCTTTAAGGTTGTACCCCTCCTACTGTAATAATCCAACTAAATATAAAAGTAGGCTTTCCTCTCATTTCAAAGCCTATCGTCAAAAAATGTCAACCCAGATACTTATAATTTAAAACTCCAAAGTTTATCTCAAAGCCCCCCACACTTCTCTCCCATGCTACCACACTAGTGGAAAGTAACATCAACTCCCACATAGACTAAGTATTGCAATAGCCTCCTAAATATCACCTTGCTTCTTCTCCTGCCCTTCTCAAATAAATCCATTCTCCACAAAAAAGCCAATCACGTTTTTAAAGTCTAAGTTGTATCACCTCCCACTGCATCTAGATAAAAACCCTTAACATGATTTATAAAGCCCTGCAACAATCTAGTCTGCCCTGCTTAACTGCTCTCCAGATTCATCTCACACCATTCTCTCAATCGGCTCAAGAGTAGCTATGATCCTCTCAGTGTCAACTGTGTCAAGCTCTTCTTCCTTCTGCCTAGGACAGCTCTTCCTCAGACCCACCACAACCTCCGTGGTAAATTCCTAGTCATTCTCCAGGTCTCAACTTAAATGGCACTTCTTTAAGGCACCTTCAACCTCCACCCCATATCCAATTTAAATTAGGTCCCCCTGTCATCCTATTTTGTACTTCCCCATCTGGGCCTTTACCACAGTCAGTAATTATATATTTGTTTAGCATCTGGCTTTTTCCACTGGCCATGTCCATGATGCCAAGATCTTGTTTGTTTGTTCATCAGAGTACCTCTAGCGCTTAGCACAATGGCTGGCATAAAGGAGGCACTCAATATTTGCTAAAATGAAGGAAGTCTAAATTTGGTAGAAAAGCAAGGGTCTCTTCTGGGTAACACACAACCAGCTCCTCAAAAACTGAATTCAAATCGTTATACCCACAATTTGAAATGAGGTACTTCTACCATAGCCAACCCTCTAGAACCTGCACCTCATTTTCCACTCTCACACTAAAACAAACCTTTATCACAGTCTCTGTGTACCTCTGAGATATAAATCCATTCTTCCATAACCACGACAAAAATCAAACTTTCTGATCCCATGTTCTACTTAGCCAGAGACTCCAACACAGAAATCTAAGCCAATCAAAATCACAGTTCAGAAATTACTTGAGGGGTTGGCCTGGTGGCTTAGCGGTTAAGTTCGCACACTCCGCTTCAGCAGCCTGGGGGTTCACCAGTTCAGATCCCGGGCACGGACCTATGCACCGCTCATCAAGCCATGCTGTGGCAGGCGTCCCACATAAGGTAGAGGAAGATGGGCATAGATGTTAGCCCAGGGCCAATACTGCTCAGCAAAAAAGAGGAGGATTCACAACAGATATTAGCTCAGGGCTAATCTGCCTCACAAAAAAAAAAAAAAAAAAAAATTACTTGAATGTATGGCATCCCTATAAGTTCCTGGGGAATATAAAAGAAAACAAAGGAAAAACATGTAAGAAAAATCATTTAATTTAAACAGTATTTTCTTATCACAATTACATGGTGTATCTGGCCATCCATCATTTAGTCTTTGAGGTAAATTTAATTGCAATCTAGGAAGATTAAAATTCTTTTCTTCTGAAACAACTCTTTCAGTTCCAACTAATGGAATTCATGGTAAAACTGTTGTAACTGCAGTCTACCTAAAATAAAAATAAGAGCGTAAGATAATAGTCTAAAACAAAAGACAGGAACACCCTTCATTCCAATATTTGGAATTCTCTTCCCTTTGGAACTAAAGTGTGTTCAATTCTAGGCAAGAAAAGACTAAGAAGTTGCATGCCTAACTCAGTGCTCTAGCCTTTTCAATTCCTTGGGGAAGACCTTCCTTACAGATAAAGGAAACTAGAATTCAGAGAGGAAGACAATATCAAATAGGAAATTAATACTTGAAAACAAACTTTAATGCTTTAAAAAACTTCAGTGTACAATTCACTTCTCTGGAAATACAAATTAGAACATAATACCCACTGTTAAAAACTATAAAAACAGGAGGGGGAATAGAGTGTAACTGCTAATGAGTACAGTGGTTTCTTGTTGGGGCAATGAAAATGTTTTAAAATTGTGGTAATGGTTGCACAATTTTGTGACTACACTAATAACAATCAAACTGTACACTTTAAATGGGTTAATTGTATGGTATGTGAATTATATCTCAATGAAGCTATTAAAAACTATAAACAAAATCGAGAAAAGGACATCAAACCATGGTTTGGGGATCTGGAATGGGTTATCCGGAAGTACCTGGGTTAAGTCTAAAATAAGGGACAGAAATTTGACAAGTGGAAGGGAAACGTTGTGAGCGCTCTGGGCAGCAAAGATCCGTCTAGTAGACGGAGCAATCTAGTTTGGCTAGCAATCTGCTGAAGAAGTGAGACAAAAATTAGGGTAAAAAACAGGCCTTAGAACAGAGGCCCTTGAACGGCCACACTGAGAAAGGAGCAAACAGTAGGAAGCTTCTTAACAGATTTTGTCCAAGAAGACGACAATGGATTGAAAGGTATCTCTATGTACTCAAAGAGCAGTCTCTTTTACTCTAACCAAGGCAAGACCAGGCTCAGTCATGAATTTTAGAACTGTGTCTATACTGGTCCCATAACTTACTATAGGTTCTAAAAGTCGAAGTGAGCCCCTGAGTCATTCATTAACAATTGCAGCCAACACCCTGGTTGGAATGTATCACTGGGTAAGTGGAACGCTGCTAGGGGTTGGATGCGCACAGAATGATAGTAGAGAACGACCCCCTCATCGTTCAATATACTGAAACAATGTGAAAAGCCAAAGTGAACGCAAAGGTAACAAGAAGGCATCGATTTTATTAAACCTTTTTCTAATATCTGCCCGTGCCAACACAATCTCGAGGCCTCCGGTGCTCGGTCTTCCTCTCTTCCGGGCGCCGCCCCGCCCCCACTCACGTGGGACTCTGGCCGCTCCACCGTCTGGCCGCCGGCAGAAGCCAGAACCCATTCAACTCAACTTTTATTAAGCGCCTGCTGTGTGCAAAGCTCCGAACTCTGTGTTGGGCTCAAGAAATGTCGGTACGCCACGAGCCTGGTCTCTGCTCTCCAAAAGAGGATCTCAGCCATCCTACCTCCCAGGTCTGCCTTTCCTCCAGCTCCTACCCCTGCCCTCCGCTGGTGTGAGTACCTGCTCACAGCCTTCGCTCAGCCAGCTGGCCACCAAGAAAAGGCCTCGCGCCTGGCGCAGAACCCCCCGGCGGGTCTCGGCCACTAGTGACCTGGCACCCAGTGGGGGTCCCCTACCCACCCGGCCCTCGGCTCGGGACGGAAGTAACACCCCAGCCCGCGTTCCCCAAGCCGCGAGGGTCGCTGACGGGAGCAAGCGCTACCTCCCCACCCCCCCATGCACGCGGCCGGCCTGGCCCCCACTCACGGCGTGCAGCGGTCGCTGTACTCATTAGCAATCGTCTCGATGCCGCCGGCGCGGGCCACAGCGACGTAGCAGCTTTGGAAGCCCAGGTCTATGCCCACCACCGACATGGCGCCGGCTACAGCTCGGGCTCGAGCCCGGGTCCGGCCGGCGACACAGGACACGGACCCCGGCGGGGCTGGTGCGCAGAGAGCGGGCCGCGTGGGCCGGGGAACCGGGGCTAGTGGGGGATGTGTGGGGGTCCACGCAAGCGCGTAGGTCCTTGGAAGGGGCCGCAGCCAAGGGCGCTGCTCAGGCCGGCGCCGGCTCAGCGGCCGCAGAAGGGTAGCCGGTAGCGGGGGCGGAGAAGATCTCGAAAGATCTCGTTGCGACGAGAGTAAACCTGCAGCGCGAGAACTGCGAAGGAAAGGAATGTTATCGCGAGACCCCGGGTCAGACGCCTGTGCTTTTGAGGTCCCGCCCCCAGTTACGTACAAGCGTACGTCACGTCCAGGCACGAGAACCTGGGAAGAGAGAGGGCGGCTGTAAGATGGTTGTGAGGCGGCGTTGGCCGCTTGAGCCTGCGTACAGAGCCCTCCGCAGCGGCTCCCCACGGCGGCAGAGAGCAACGGAGCACCTCCCCGGCCAGAAGAAAGCAGGAGAGCCGGCTGGAGGCAAAATACTGGGGAAGCTCCGGTGCCCTACTTCCGCCGTTTTCTTTTACCGCAAAGAAACTTCCGGTGGTGGGACCTTGGCCGCCTCACGTTGTTTTGGGCCCCCAAAATGGGAGCGCGAGCTAATTTTCTAAGTCCAGGGGGCCCTCTCCTTTGGTCCCCTCGGCGAAGGTTGGCCGGTAGAGAAGGCCGCTCTTGGAACTCGGCCCTGAGCAGGGCCTTAGGTTGGGCACTGTCAAAGTCAAAGCGCCCTCTCCGGCGGAGGGGAGGAATCCACTCTCCGTCCCACCGCCTTGTTTTTTTCGTTCAGCCTGTCGCACCGTTCTCTAACCCACTTGTGTCCTTAGATCAGACTGAGAGGCTTACAGGACTTAAGCCTTTTAATCCCCAGCACATTCAAAGCACCTGCCCTGAGCTGGATGCAAGGGACAGAGACAGATAATATGCTACCTAGGTCGGTTCAGGCAAGCCGGTAAGTGGCTGGCTTACGAGAAGCTAATGGATCGTAAACTTCACCGCCCCTCGCTTGCACGGGCACCTGGGAGAGCAGGGAGTTGCTGGGAGTTGCAGTGGGGAAGCCACTTTGCGATCAGGAAGCAATTCCTATAATAAGCATTTCTGATAAATTGCTTAAAGAAATCTCAGAAGAAGGGGAATCTGAATCTCCAGTAATTTGTTGTGATTTCTTGTACTGTTTACTTTGTGATACTTTTTTTAAGGGCCCCCAACTATAAGCTTTAACCCCACAAAACCTGAATCCGACCGGTCACGAGAGTAGCTAAACAAGTAAGAAAGATCCTAGTACAGGCTGGGTAGTGTTATAGGAACAGAATTGTGGAGACTGGGCGGACTTCCTAGAAAAGCGAGAGGCTGCTTTCAAGTTGGAAAAAACAGCAATAGAGAGCTAGTCTGGGTTGAGGAGAACTACAAGAAGTTCTATATTGCTGTAGTGTAGACTGAGTTGAAGATCTCAATCTCAGAGCCAGAAGAATTAAATTGGACCATTTTATACAGTGAGTGAGCAAAGAAGAAAGTACGTTTTCCCAAATCTCTGCATTTTCTGCTGCCTAAGGAGGCACCTCAGTCTCCAGGAACAATACCTAAAGCCCAGATTATTTTCCTTTAAACTTGCAAATTACCTCACAGTTCTCACACTGGCTAGATCAAAGCTGTTTTTGTCTTCAAAAACAAGTGGGGGATGGGGGATGGAGGCAGCAAGAAAAAGCCTTTGAGAAAAGAGAGCGGGGAAGAGCAGATACTTGTGTATGCACGTTCATCGCAGCATATTCACCACAGCCAAAAGGTGGAAACAACCCAAATGTCCCTTGATGCATGAATGGATTTTTAGTATGTGATATATACATACAATGGAATGTTATGCAGCCTTAAAAAGGAACAAAATTCCAACACATGCTACGACATGGATGAATCTTGAAAACGTTAAGTGAAAGAAGCCGGACACTAAAGGACAAATTTCGTATGATTCCATTTATGTGAGGCACCTGGAATAGGTACATTCATAGAGCCAGAAAGTAGAATAGTGGTTACCAAGGGCTTTCGGGTAGGGAGGAATGGAGAGTTACTGTTTAATGGGTACAAAGTTTTAGTTTGGGATGATGAAAAAGTTCTGAAGATGGATAGTGGTGATGGTTGCATAACAATGTGAATGTTCTTAATGCCACTGATTTCTACACTTAAAAATGGTTAAAATGATAAATTTTATGTTATGTATATTTTCCACAGTAAGAAAAGTTAAAAAAAATAGTTATCTTGACCTTGACCTTCCTCTGTCTCCTATTTTTCTCCTACCTAGGGGGATATCACCAATACCAAGGACAGTATTGGCCTTAATTATGACAGAGTCCTGTCTCCATCTGTCTGCTCTGGGTTATTAAGCAGTGTGCAAACAGAGGCTGGGCTGCCCTAGGCTGAAGTGTTTAATCTACCTAAAAGATCACTATGTCTGGGTTACAGACTCTGTCTCTGCCTTCCTTCTTGTGAGAGGCCTCCCCAGTCTTTAGCTAAACTGACAAAAAGCACATCCATATCTTTTCACGTTCCAGCTTCGTACCCACCTGCCTTATTTGCTTTGGCACTGCTATTTAAAATACCATCGACCATATCAATCTTTTTAACGATTTGTCTTTCTCAAAATAAAGCATAACTAACATCAGTCACAGAGAGTACTCATTCTGCTATAAATAGTTTCCTGGATCATCAAACTTATAGCTCAAGAGGCTATTCGGGATATTTAAATAAATGAAGTCAGAAAAAGTTATTTAAGAATTCCGAAGAATCTAGAGTGACAAGTTTCCAAGAATCACAATTGTGAAGCAATAAAGTTGCCAGAATATTTAATATTGGAGGCACTGTGGTTTGAGTACAAATTCTTTTCATTCAGCAGAGCATCTTGAGTATTTTAGAAGGAAGTTGTTGAATGCCTTTCTCTGGTACAATGATTAAATTTAGTTCTAAGCAATCAGGAAAGTTTTTGTGTGTTTGTTTTAACTATACAGTGTTCAAAGACTACCCACCACAAGACAAAATGTTCTCAGTCAGTTGGGAATTCGTAGTCTTCCCCGCCAGGTGTCCCATGGAATCCTGTGCTATACTCTGGAGCATCATCTGCAATTCTTTGCTTCACGCGGAAGATACAAGCTCAGATAATGTGTTTTCTGGCCTCCCTGATATCGCAGTGAGTGGACCAGTGCCCTTAGTCAAACCTGCACTCTTAAACTTGAAAACTCTAATAACTCAATAACAATGGTAGTTACCTCATGACTGACTCCTACAGTATGTGCCAGATGTTGTGCTGAGTGACACACTCATTAGGTAGGTGTTATTTTCCACGTTTATAGATGAGAAAACTGGGACCTGATGAGGTTAAGGAACTTGTTGAAGGTCACACAGCTTTTTTTTTTTTTTTATTTTCCCCCCAAAGCCCCAGTAGATAGTTGTATGTCATAGCTGCACATCCTTCTAGTTGCTGTATGTGGGACGCGGCCTCAGCATGGCCGGAGAAGCGGTGCATCAGTGCTCGCCCAGGATCCGAACCTGGGCCGCCAGTAGCCGAGCGCACGCATTTAACCGCTAAGCCACGGGGCCAGCCCTCACACAGCTTTTAAAACTCCAACTACAACACTCATCTACAACTATACCACTAGTTTCTTTAAGCTCATGTTCCTTAGGAAGGCTCATTAAAGAAAATATGGGAAACACAAAAGAGTAAGAGAAATAATTCACCTAGAGTCATTCACTGTTGATATTTTGGAACACTTTCCTTCCTTTCAGTATTTCTCTTATATCTGTTGGGTTGAATTTGGTTGTGCCTTTTTTAACATTGGGTTAAACCAGCGTTTCCCAAACTGTGTTCAACAGGACACTGTGCCGTGAGATATTAATAGGTTAGTATTGCCATTTTAAAGGCTCTGAGTAGTCCTATAGAAAATTTGTTTAACTTTGTTCAATCATAAATACAAGTATAAACATGAGCAGGACTGGTTAGGGGCCAGCCCGGTAGCGTGGCAGTTAAGTGCGCATGCTCCGCTGTGGCGGCCCCGGGGTTCTGATCCCGGGCGTGCACCAACGCACCACTTGTCAAGCCATGCTGTGGCGGCGTCCCACGTAAAGTGGAGGAAGATGGGCACAGATGTTAGTCCAGCGCCAGTCTTCCTCAGCAAAAAGAGGAGGATTGGCAACAGATGTTAGCTCAGGGCTAATCTTCCTCACAAAAAAAAAAAAAAGTATTGGTTAAGGAGTAGTAGAGCACAATTTAGTCTCCTGCTTTTTTCCCTCAAGCATTTTTCTAATCATAATGCTTTTCTGATATAAAAACTACCATTACAGTTCACTTCTAACTCAAAATTGGCTGAAATCCTAGCGTCCTTCCTCACTCTATCAAACTGCTTACATAGTAGCACTATGATCTCATTCCGAGGTCCTTCCCCAAAGCCCCACTTTTTTGCCCTTATTCGGGCTGATTGCACTTATACATATGGTTTGCAGTATCGTTATCAGTCCCAGCCCTTTCTCTCTTTATAATCTTAAAATGCTGCGTGAACTTTGCACAGATTTATCCAGGCCACACAAGCGGACATGATCCTGAAAATTTAACCCCTTCATCTAGGTCCCTTTATCACCAATAATTTTCCTGGCCTGACTCACAACCTCCTTATCCATCGGCTCCACCCTCTCCTCAACCAGCCCCAGGCTCAGCCTTCTTCCACCTCTAGCAGCTGGCATTCCAACTCCACCCCGAAGTCCTGCCTGTTGGTCTGGTCTGCTGAGAGCAGAAATGTGGCTCTGACCTGCTCAGCCCAGCTCTGCTCTAGCTTGTCCTGTTCCTGAGTATAGAGGGACCCCCCCGGGGAGCTATCCTGCTGCCGTAGCAGCTGCGGTCGCGTTTCTACAAATTACAAAATTTTCTTTACCATCTTTTGTTTTAACTATCAAATTCATCAGGATTCATTCTATTCTGTGCTGAGTTTCCCTTCAGTTGAGTACAGCTCATTTGTCTCAGGACAGAATGCTCTTTGCTCTATGCTCTATGACTCAAAAACAGTGACTTTAAAAGGCCCTGTAGCCTCTGATAATAATTCACTTTTCCGGTTTCCTGATTAAAGAGGAATCTGGAGTGTGAATATTTGTAATTTGATAAAGAATCAGTGTTACTAGGAACAGTGTTACTATGAACAAGTTTATGTGGCATTCTGCCCATACATCACTTCACAACCAAAGG